CTAGTGAAAAAATTCATTAGTGAGTACTCTCCAAAATGACCATATTTTCTTCTGCATTGGCGAGGTACCTTCCCATTTAACTGGATTCACAAGACTATCATAATTAATTATTAAAAAGTCAAAAGAATGAAGAAGTTGAAGTATACATGATTCAGAATGCTGACATGAACAAAAGCATGGGTTATATTGGCAAGAATCTCGAGTACATTGAGTTGGTCAAAAAGTGTCAAAAGATGCCCATAAGCATGTGGATTTCTGCACTTGAATCAAGAGGATATATGGATAGGTATAGGGTTACTTGTGGAAACTATCCACAATGTGCCATGAAAGCTTATCATCTTGTATCTCTTGTGGTCACCGTCGACATGTGAACAGATTTAAGTATCGGAGTATGGTTCATCATTTATCATTCTTCGTAAAGGGGATCATATTTGCTAGCGTTTTCTTTTGCACATTGAATGAAAATATAGTTTTGGCCGACACTTATGTAAAGGGTAAAGATACTTGTACATAATTTGATGTACCGAATTGTTTACCCCCTCTCACATGCACACTGACCCCGCGTGAATGAAAAAATTCGATACATGTAGCATGGTTCGTATGTAAAAGTTGTATTGGGTGGATTTGATCATTCCAATCTCCCATTCTCTATTTTAGTTCATTTATTTTTAGGGCATTCCCTACTTGTATCGAAGACATTCATTCTAATATGGGAAAAATCTCATTTTAAGATGAATATATAGTTGTACTAAAATATATCACGTAAAACAAAGATTTAGTCCATGTTTGACATCCATTAAATTTTAATTCATTTTTCTCTCCTCTCTTATCAACCACGCCTCCTTTCAATAAAATAATATTACACATAAACTCAAAAATTCTCCTTACTTTTTAACCACACATTCTTCAAAAAACACTATTTGAAAATCAATTTTTTTTTCCAAAAAATGGAAACAAGGGCTAAGTCCTTAATTTTGCTCTGTCATTGTACTGAATTTAGTTTTAAATCTCTTTACTTGGCCCTTTACATCTATGCCATGTTCTCGTGAGAGTCATTTAGTCATTGTAACACGTGCATTATTGAGAAATTACATTAGTTGAAATGAAAAAAAAAATAAAAAAATCTACACCGCATCTTGAGAAAAAGTATCGTGTCGAATCACATTGTCTAAGAAGATTAAATTATTAAAAAATGATACATCTTGGAGAAATTGCACCATTGGTCTACATGCTACTGCATTGTAGCAAGTTGATCCCTAACATTTACAAATAAGCGAGTTACTATAATGAAAGGTTAATGATAACTTGATTTTTGTTGACAATAGACATTCCTTATGTGCTATTTTTTTCTCTCGATATAAATTAATCTAATTTTTATCTATGATCCAACTGTATCTTTATGAAGGATGCGTGTTGGGCTTCGTTGTCAAACAACCTCATTGGTTAATGAAGTATAGATTGTTGGACTCCGAGGGTTTTAGCTGATAAATGAAGAATTTATAAGCCCAGTTAATTATTTCACACGTGTTGATCCATTGTTGCGATCCAAGTGGAAAAGTCGCAATTATGAGGTTTAACACTTTTAATTGTTGGTCAATGGCTTGAGGCGGATAGTCACTTTTCACTCTTTGTCTCACGTTTTCACACACTCCCTAGGTCTCCTTTTATCTATCGACTGCACGATTTTCTTCAAGAAAAATTCTTGCCTTGCTGCCGTTCTTTGTGAATGAGTCTCCTGATCTCTATGTGGTTTCAAGGGTTATGTTTCCTTTTCTTGAGAAGGAACCAAGGCAGTGGTGTTGAGGGTCAAATGGTGTGAAATATAGGCAAAAGTAAGCCAAAAGGCTTCTCGGATCCACTGATGATGTCAAAACTCTCGTGTACAGATTTAGACATGTTTGGTTTTACGTTTTGTTGGTCAAATCACGATTCCTATGAGTAAATTTGTAAAAATGCGAATAGATGAAACGGAAAACAATACTAGAATATCAAAATTATGATTGTAGTAAGTATATAATTATCTCCATCATAGGACTCATTGTAATTTATTACAATGTATTAATTTATACCGAATCTCTCGGAATTAATATAAATTACAAACACATTTTAATAATAAAATTTCAACTGTCGAAGTAAGATTGGTCAATGCTGACAAATAAAAGGTAGCCAAGAATGAAAAAAAGAGGGCAAAAGGAAAGCTCTGTTAGTATTAATATATTACTTTTGCAGAACTTTTTCAATGAGCTCTCCTCTTACCCTCTGTGTGGCAAATATGTAGAGAGATATAGTAAAAGAAATAATAGAGGTCACGCAAAATGTGTGCATGATAATAAGTACTGATTATAAATGTTATGAATTGATGGCAAGATAATGGTAATAATGAAATAAACAAAATAAATAAGAATACTAATATTTATGTGAAAATCAAAGATGGGAAATGAAAAGAAAGAGATGAGAGTTTCACGCCACCGAGCCAGCTCTCGGGCCATTTCTTCGATCAGGGGTGCCGGTGCTGAATCACCCCCTGCCCGGCGCTGCGGCACCGAGCTTGCTGCTTTTCTTTTTGTCAGGGTTGCGGCCACTTTCGATAAATTTGTCTTAAAGATATTTTTTTCATCATGTCAAAGTCATTTTTCAAGTCAAACTCTCAATTTTTGAAAAAAATTGATCTCTAATAATTAGGACTCTTGTAACCAAATCTCCTTACACTTCTTCTATTCAACCGAACATCAAATGACATGAAATTTGGATCACACCACAACAATAAATGTATAACTAAAATTAATACTTGACTTAATTGAATTTATAAACCATTTATAAACGCTTCGAGTTTTGTCATGTGAGACACGGTGGTGGCGGGAGAAATGAACAGTGACGGGAAGAAAGGTTGTGGCGGCGTCATGGATATGGGCAGGAGAGAAGAAATGGACGGGAGAAGATGAATGATTTTTAGGTTTGATTAGGTTTTTGTAATTGTGATGATAAATATATAATTAATATTTAATAAAATATAAAAAACCTGATTTTTGAAAATTTAAATTTGTGATATGATTTGTGAAAATGGAAATCTAAAAGCAGGTGTAGGTGTAATTTCCTCCTCTTTTTAAGTGTACACTCCATGCCCCATATGCTTGGTCCAATTGGGCTCCAAAATGTTTCTGGGTTGGCCCATAACACAGATGGGCTTAGGTCTTAATGAGCCATGTTGACCCGGAAATTTTACCACTCTAGACATAAAAAAACATAATCGCCTGATTCAATCTCATCATTCATCAAGAGAAGTTAAAGAATGATGGATCATTAAGATAGCCGTTTTCACCAACCTTTGCTTTATGTTTTAAAGTGCATGGTTGGGTTTCAATGTATTACAATCAATTGTTTATCTGATTCGATTCTTAATCATCTTAACTATGATATCTGATTCGATGCACTCTCACGTTAACATTGTGTACATATAAAAAATGTTTCCGGGCCATTTGTTGTTACAGTTGGTCGATGTAATATCAAGTTAGTTTTGACTAGAACTGAAAAATGTAATCATACGTTGTTATACGATGCACTAACATTAATTCTTCCAAAAGCAGTTATTGTAACCTTTGAATTTGACTTGGGAATGGATAATCTTTACCAAACATGCCATAAGAATTAAGAAAATTATTTAACAGATTTAATACTAACTCTCTTTTTTAACGTAATATCAACTCTTATTAAGTTGGCAACAATAATCCACCAAATAGATAAAATAATTTTATCTACAACTCAAAATGTATGATTTATTTTCTAAGAAATATCCCATAGTAAATAAAACGTTGTTATCGTTCAACCATCAAACCCTCTTGTAATGGATGATGAAATCAAAACTCCACCAAAAAAAAAAAACCATTAATACTTTTCCCTTGACTAATATTATATGAAAGTACTCGTATATGAATGTACTCAGTTCCTCGGATTTTCTACTTGAGATATGAACTTACTGTCATTACGATCAACGATTAAACTCATATTGAGTCAAACTCTCCCCTCGTTCCCAATTGTCATTACCTACATTAGCGTCCTGCTAAGTCGTGGTCCGTGACACTAGTTCTTGTCTACCGAAAATGCCATGAATGCTTTAAATCAATAGTCATGATGAATTCTTCAGACAGCCAATCGTAATAAATCAGATTAACACTTTTTGGATCATTAAATGTCAATGTCCTATCTATAATTATAGGTGTGTTACATGGTAGATGATTAATCATGTCAAAGTTTGTTGTGTATAGCAAAAACAACCTTATCCACAAATGAACTATGGAAGAACAAGACAGGGAGACAAAACGACCTCTAAAAGGAAAGGCTAACTTGTAAACCAACCTACCGAGGACCATGTTTCTCATCTAAGAAATACACACATTTTACATCGGTTTGCCTATATTTTAATAACTCGGGCTATTTAGGGTCAAAGCCACTCCAAGCTTCACGTTAGGATCAACACGAGTGTTCACGAGAATCACCAACTTGGGATCGTAATAATCTCCTAGTACTCCATCTTAATAACGTCGATTTGAATCTTTAGAATCTTCAAACCACTTAGAATCAAACTACTAAATGGACGGAGAAACGGGTTGATAATTTATTTTCTTGAAATTTTCACCCTCAACTCTTCAAAGAAGATTCGAATAGAGGTAAGTGACATGGTAAAGCTTCATCCCTCGTCAAGATGCCCATGTACATAATCATAGGCATCTCATGCATATTCAAAGTCTTGTGCAGTATGAATGGGTAATTTATATTATACTCTGCACAGACCTCTGCATTAGTCATTGATTAATTGACAAAAATAAATCATAAGTTATCAAAAATAAGTAGGATAGAAATGCCATGCAATGCAAGTTGACTTTCCATGCATTTATGCTTCAAGAAATATTAAACTCACTCTCTCTCTCTCTCTCTGTATATCTATATATATACAATTTTCAAGTTCACATATTCATCAATTCATTTTTTTCTCACTTGTCAAAATGATTGAAAATAAGCTATTGTTCTCTCCATTAATTATTTCTTGCATTCTTTTAACAGTTCTAACGTTATTTACACAATCTTCAGCTGATAATGTTTCGCCAGCAAATCCTGTCCCCCCTTCAACTATATGCAAATCTACCCCTTATCCTACCTTCTGCAAATCAGTGCTCGTTCCAAATTCCAATTCCTCGTCCAGTGCGTACGATTACAGCCTGTTTTCCTTCCGAAAATCCTTATCCGCAGCCCGGAAATTCCTTACGTTGATTAACAAGAATCTACAGAGGTCGAGAGATTTGACAATAACTGCGGTCAGGGCTTTGGAAGATTGCAAATTTCTGGCTGAGCTTAACGTTGATTATCTGATGAATTCTTTCATCACAGTCAATGGAACTTCTTCGAAAACTCTTCCCCTTTCCAAAACAGACGACGTTCAGACACTTCTCAGCGCCGTTTTAACAAACAGTCAGACATGTGTCGATGGCCTTCAGGCAACAGCCTCAGCCTGGAGTGTAAGAAAATGGATTTTATCTCCATTGACTAATGATACGAGGTTGTTCAGTGTTTCTTTAGCCCTTTTTACAAAAGCCTGGGTTCTTAAGATGAAGAAGAAACCTTCACACCCGACAGGGAAACATTTGACATTCGAAAATGGCAGATTGAGCCTTAAAATGTCTGCAAAAAATCAAGAAATCTTAAACACTGTCAGCAACAGAAGTCTGCTTCAGACACATGATAAACAGGTTCGGTACTTAACCATTTCATTTAATAGCTTAATCTGTCGGGGGCTTGAATTTAGGACCTTTTTCTGTGTGACTTTAATCAATATGTTTTCAACAGGTTCTGGTGAGTGACATTGTAATCGTGGATCAGACTGGAACTGGGAATTTTACCACCATAAACGATGCTGTTGCAGCTGCTCCGGTGAACTCCAACGGCAGCAGTGGCTACTTTCTGATATATATCACTGCTGGTATTTATGAAGAATATGTGTCGATTGCCAAGAACAAGAAATATTTGATGATGATTGGTGATGGAATCAATCAGACTATCATCACTGGAAATCATAGTTTTGTTGATGGATGGACTACGTTCAACTCGTCAACCTTCGGTGAGTCCCTAGTCTTGTTTTCGACTTAAAATTGGTCCACACTATTTGAACAGTCTTGAATTCATTGCTGATTAATTTTTTTCCTTTTTTCTTTTGGTCGTGCAGCTGTAGTTGGGGCAGGCTTTGTTGCAGTTAACATGACATTCCGAAACACGGCAGGAGCAATCAAACATCAAGCTGTTGCGGTCCGAAATGGGGCCGATTTGTCCACATTCTACTCGTGCAGTTTCGAAGCATATCAAGACACGTTATACGTCCATTCCCTCCGACAATTCTACAGAGAATGCGACATCTACGGCACAGTGGACTTCATATTCGGCAATGCTGCCGCCGTATTTCAGAACTGCAACCTTTATCCGCGTCTCCCACTGCCCAACCAGTTCAATGCCATTACCGCACAGGGCAGAATGGACCCGAACCAGAACACAGGCATTTCCATTCAAAACTGCATGATACGACCGGCGGATGACCTGAATACGACCAGCATTCAGACATATCTGGGGAGGCCATGGAAAGAATTTTCAAGAACAATTTACATGCAAAGTTACATAGATGGATTTATAAATCCATTGGGGTGGCATGAATGGTTAGGAGAATTTGCACTGAATACTTCATATTATGGTGAGTTTAATAATAGAGGGGCAGGATCAAACACAAGTGGGAGAGTAAATTGGCCTGGATTTCATGTTATTCAATCTACAGATGCTGCTAATTTTACGGTGTCAACGTTCCTGCTTGGAGATGACTGGTTATTCGATACTGGAGTGCCATTTGAGGGTGGATTATTATGAAGCGTGTTTGTTTTGTTTTTAATTCTTTATTTGTTTTACTGAATTAATAAGAAAGTAAGCAAGGTAATGTGCATTTACACGTGAATGGCTTTAGTTTGCTAAAATTCATATTTTAATAAATTTTAATAAAAAATAATAAACAGTCCAATTGTCATCCCAACTCAAGATTTAAGTTTTANAATATTTGATGATGATTGGTGATGGAATCAATCAGACTATCATCACTGGAAATCATAGTTTTGTTGATGGATGGACTACGTTCAACTCGTCAACCTTCGGTGAGTCCCTAGTCTTGTTTTCGACTTAAAATTGGTCCACACTATTTGAACAGTCTTGAATTCATTGCTGATTAATTTTTTTCCTTTTTTCTTTTGGTCGTGCAGCTGTAGTTGGGGCAGGCTTTGTTGCAGTTAACATGACATTCCGAAACACGGCAGGAGCAATCAAACATCAAGCTGTTGCGGTCCGAAATGGGGCCGATTTGTCCACATTCTACTCGTGCAGTTTCGAAGCATATCAAGACACGTTATACGTCCATTCCCTCCGACAATTCTACAGAGAATGCGACATCTACGGCACAGTGGACTTCATATTCGGCAATGCTGCCGCCGTATTTCAGAACTGCAACCTTTATCCGCGTCTCCCACTGCCCAACCAGTTCAATGCCATTACCGCACAGGGCAGAATGGACCCGAACCAGAACACAGGCATTTCCATTCAAAACTGCATGATACGACCGGCGGATGACCTGAATACGACCAGCATTCAGACATATCTGGGGAGGCCATGGAAAGAATTTTCAAGAACAATTTACATGCAAAGTTACATAGATGGATTTATAAATCCATTGGGGTGGCATGAATGGTTAGGAGAATTTGCACTGAATACTTCATATTATGGTGAGTTTAATAATAGAGGGGCAGGATCAAACACAAGTGGGAGAGTAAATTGGCCTGGATTTCATGTTATTCAATCTACAGATGCTGCTAATTTTACGGTGTCAACGTTCCTGCTTGGAGATGACTGGTTATTCGATACTGGAGTGCCATTTGAGGGTGGATTATTATGAAGCGTGTTTGTTTTGTTTTTAATTCTTTATTTGTTTTACTGAATTAATAAGAAAGTAAGCAAGGTAATGTGCATTTACACGTGAATGGCTTTAGTTTGCTAAAATTCATATTTTAATAAATTTTAATAAAAAATAATAAACAGTCCAATTGTCATCCCAACTCAAGATTTAAGTTTTAAGTAAATTTAATTTTATGAAATATGTAAAACCTCCACTACCACCACAGCCAACCAAATCCATCTATCTTCACCTAGCCATCACCGCCACCGGTCCTCCCAAAAACTTTCTCTGGCCATTTATATAAGACAGAGGGAGAGAGAGAGAAACCCGATTCAAACCCATTCATCAATCTCTAAAGCTTCTGTTAATGTAAAGAAATTGAACCCAGAAATTGTATTCAATTTCTAATTTCAAACAAACGTTCATTAAAAGGGTAAAAGTCGAAGAATAAGAATCAAATAGGAGAAGAAAACGATGTCTCCAAGTGTAACCTCCGAACCAGATGCGAGCAGCAGCAGCGAAGAATCCCAATTGATATTGAATGTATATGAACTTACACCTGTATATCAGTGCTCTGCTTGGTTTGGTTTGGTTTTGGCGTCTTCCATTCTGGCATTGAAGGTGAGAAATCAAGAAACGACTTCTCCTCTTCAATATAATTTATGGAAATAGGAGGGTTATGACTGTGAGAAAAAGATGGAAGTGGGGGTTGGAGGTGATGGCAGGTTTTTAATTTCTGAAACTTTTTTTGAGATGGCCTATGGCAATGATGGGTGGATGAGGTACGTGGATTTGGTTGGTTGTGGTGGATGCGGTGGTTGCAGGGTTGGGTTTGCGGAGGTTTGGAAAAGAAAGATGCATGTATTTTTTAGATTATCTTTTTCTTTTAAATTAAGGCACTACTTAGTTACGCAAGCGCAAGCCTTTGTCGTCGACTAAGTAGGGCCTGAAGGCCGGCCCCTGCGAATTTGTAAATCTGAGGAGCGTGCTGCCACAATCTTTTCCCAAAAAATTCCAGAAAGAATGCTTTTGATTGCAACTTCGCTCCAGAAAGTACCACTAGACAGCAATCGGATAAAGAGTTCTCCTAGGCTAGGGAAAGGGCAAAAGTCAAGATACACACACTAACACTATTCATAGCTTTTTTGAGTAATTTTTTGTCAAAAATACATTTTGGAATATTGATTTGATGGAAAATACATGGTTAAAAAATAAGGAAATTTATTGAATTTACGTGTAATGTTATTTTATTGAAAAATGTGTAGTTGAAAATAAAAGAAAGAAAAATACATTTTTGAAATAATGGGGACAAAAAATGGCTCAAAGTTGAACGTGCATTACACGTTATTTTGAAATATTTCATAAGTGCTGTAAATGTAATATTTGATACCAATTTGTTGGGAGGATTTGACGTGTCAAACGAATTAAAGAAAATAAAATTTATAATAAAAAATTCAAAGAAGAAAATTGTATTATCAAAACTCAATTTCTATAATTCAAATTTTCTGATGATGAAATGAAATACTTCAAATCAACAATCTTTTATACTACATTTAGTACATAAAAATTAATTTCTAATATATAAATTTAAACATCATTAAAATTACTGAATATATAAATAGAAATAAATTCATTTATAATAACTTCAGATTTATGTAAATCAAAATTCATTAAGACTAAATTAATGTAAATGTTAATTAATTGAGAATTAATGATATGAAATTCATATATGGCAATGATTGTAGTATTTATTACATATTGAAAAACGAAAAGTAAGGTATTATTAAAATAATTGAATTATAATAATGTTAAAATTGTCAAAAAAAAATTTATTCTCACTTGATGTGATATTTAATATACTAGTCAGAATTGAACTCGCTATCTTGATTTGCACATTATTCTGAAATGTTTTATAAGTACCGTGAAAGTAATATTTGACCATCCATTTACTCTTTTAATTTAAATATGAGAGAAATGCAAGTCCTTGAAAATAAATTTAAATAGTGAAATATATATTTAAATGTTAATATTAGAATTACAACTAAATGTATAAATAAAGAAAAATGACAAATACGGTACATGAATTAACGTGAATGTTAGTTAATTTAGCATTAACACCAAGGAATATATATAAGTAATAATGAATATTAAACTAATATAATTTAAAAACTAATTAAGTTAAACTGGTTGTTAATTAGCATACATGGATGTGAATAATGAACTGCATTTTTTAATATGAAATTTTAACTAATAATAATTAAATGAATGTGACTGTTAATTAATAAGAATCAATGAGTGTTTTAAAAATCGGATTGGCCCGGTTGGTTCAAACTGGGAACTAAAACTAAAATCGGTTTGATTTGGCTTATAAAATATCTAATTAAAAATCCATCCCAAAACCCGTTAAATCGATCGGTTTTTGAAAAACTAGTGACTCATTCCCGGTTTATATGTTTAACCTATATAAATATATTTATTTTTTTAATTTTTAAATGTATACTTTTTACAATTTTGTAAATGTATATTTTTTAATTTTCTAAAAAGCACGGTTTGATCCCGGTTCGACTCCCATTTAACCTTTTGACCATTTCTCTTTTTCGGGTCGATAGCTAATTGGTTTTTAAAACATTGGAATTAATAATATGGACGTGAATGTGAATGTGAATGTGAAATTCTAATTAATATTAATTAAATGAATATAAATGTTAATTAATTGAAAACTAATTATAGTATTTATTACAGTTTGTAAATTAAAAGGTATTATTGAAATAATTAAATTGTAGTAGGACTATAATAGTCCAAAAAGTGATTTACTTGTTGTGATTAATATATTATAGATATACTAGTCAATATTGAACACGTGTTGTACGTTATTATGAAATGCTTTATAAAAGTTGTAAAAGTAATATTTGAATATTTATAAATATCGATTAATACAAGGGAATATATGCATAACAATGTATTTTTAAATAATTTATTTAATTTTCAATTAAATAATGTTAATTAGCATACACGGACATAAATAATAAATACTTTTTTGAATGTGCAATTCCAATTAATTTATAATTAGAATTAATAACACTGAAATGTATAAATGAAAACGAATATTAATTAAATGGATATAAATCTAATTAATTGAGAATTAATAATAGGAAATTTATACATTAGTGAAAACACACAAGTGAAGAGAATTTGTCAAATTTACACGTGCATTGATGGTAACTATATGGTTAAAAATATATTTTTCTCTCTTTTTTAAACCACACATTTTTCAATAAAATAATATTACACATAAATCTAAAACTTTTTCTTATTTTTAACAACACATTTGTCATCAATCCACTATTACAAAATACATTAGTTACCTTTTAATGGTGCTCATACACACTCAGAGAGTGAGTTTGATTATCTAAATTTGAAAAGTCAAATCCACTTTCTATTTTAAAGGGTGTTCGGTGGAGATTAAAATTATATATTTAGTGGATTGTGATAAAAGTTTTTGAAATGTGTAGTTGAAAAGATGTGGGACGCATGAAAAATGTGGTTAATATTGATTGTTTGACTTTGACTTGAATTAAAATCAGATTTTAATTAGGCCCTTAAAAAGTTAAGAATCTCTATGAGCTTATTTTTAATAATTAACTTTTTAAAATAAAAAGGATTTTACATTTAGAGAGTTTTTTTGAAGATACTCTTACTTCTTGTTTGGTTTAGTTAAAAATATATATTTTTAGGAAATTTTTATAAAAATTGATAAAATATGTGATTAAAAAGTTTATAAAAGTTATAAGTATCATAAAATATTTGATTGAAAATAAATCTTAAAAAAGTTATTATTATTATTTTTTTAAATGGGAGAAAGACTGTACTAGGGATGGCAAAAAAATTCGTTCAACCAGAAATTCGTAGGGCTCCACCCCGAACGGGGTAGGGATTGCCTTCCTAATCAGGTAAACGGGGGGAGGGTCATTGCCCCAAAGCGGGTACAGGGCGGGTACGAGAATTATAGTCCATGTACCGCTACCCATCTCATTTAAAGTTAATTTTAAATTTAAATTTTTTATCAAATAAAAATAATAGATTTATTATTTTTTAAAGAGAATATAAGTTGTTTCCAACAAATTGATAAAAAAAAATAATATTTACTAAGGAAAGGCATAAAAAAATAAAAGCAAAAAGTAAAATAAATAAAAAATAAATGGGGCGATAAATGGGATAGAAGACCCACCAAGTCCCATTTTAAACGGGTATGAGGATGAGACAATGTAACAAAAATACCCGATGAAACATGGGTGGGAATGGCCGACTCGTCCCGTTGCTATCCCTAGATTGTACATAAAATTCATGCCACTTATAATTTTCTTGTCAATTCTGATTTCCAATTAGTTTAATTTGCAATAATAAGATTTTTTTATTAATTAACTTGCTTTAAGTAATTATTTAAAACTCATTTTCAACCACAAGTTTCATGCCCAATAAAATAATATTGTACATTAATTTTGCGCATAAACTCAAAATTTTTTATCTAGTTTTCAACCACATGTTATAAAAAAAACCACTTTAATTGGGCTAAAAAATGGTTCACGATATGCTACGGTTGAGTAAAAAATGATTTACCTATAATTTGACTCAATTAAATTTCACTACATCATCTGTTGATAAACAAATCTGTACATTATGATGTGCATATAACACAATTGTTGTAAAAGAAAAATACTTATTGGACATGATCATTTACATATTGATGAGGTGTCAGAAAGAAATTAGAGGAGTTTTTTTGTTATTTGATTAATAAGATTTTAATTTAATTAAATTTCTTACATCACTCGTCGGTAAATAAATTTGTAAGTTGTAATGCACATATAACACAACCGCTTGTGAAAAGATGAATGCCACTGTCAAGTAAATAATAATGATTTACGAAGGTAAAAAATACAACTCAAGTCCCAACTATACAGGCATCACACCATTTAAGGTTTTCCTACACTATTTTTGTGAGA